CCTATCAGGAAAGAGAAATCAGTTTTATTTGGTTTATCTATTGTTTCATCTATTCCTTTTAGAAATCTGAATCTCTCTTACCTTGTGATATTGTTTAAACATGTTTTTTTAAATATTCCTGGCACTCTGTAACCCTGATTATTCATCTCGTGGCTTTGCAGCATTCAGATCTATCCTTACAGGTTAGTTTTCATTGATCCTTTTATCTTCCTTCATATTTTAGCAATGGAAGCAAAAACCTTTGCTTAGTAGTTCTAGAAGAGCTTTCTTACAACTCATTCCCATTGATTCAACTTTCTTCACATTCCTGGCCCAGTTTTTAATTTTTTTTCTTAAGAGGTACAGTGATTACAAGGATGGCTCATTCGGGATGGGCAATTTGCCCTTCATACTCCTAGAATCAAACTCTTCAAGACAGCATTTAGAAGATGACCAAAGTACACCTGTAGGTATGGACAGCCTTGGGGATGCAGTCACTTCTGGGTACTCTGATGATAACGTTGGACAGAGATAAAAGTTAATGTGTACCAGAATTCCCAGACCAGGCCAAGATCAGAATACATTTGGAAACTCATCAGGGACTCCACTTGCCTTAGTGTCTTTTCATTAGACATGGCCTTGTGGCAAGGGTGACTGTGCAGGGAGCTAACAGCTTCCTAGCCTCACACCTACACTAGAAAACTCAGCCTCCTGTAGGGTCTAAGTTCAAGGTGAAGTCCCAGGGATATTATCCTTAATGCTGTTCTATATAAAGTGGTGGAAACCCTACTGAACAAACATGGGTCAGAGGGTGGGGATTAGACAGAAGAATTAAGTCTGCAAAAAGGATCTGGAATTTTTTATATTAGGAGATGGTGAATAGTGAAGAATATGACTCTTCTTTAAATACTTACTTCATCTTAAACTAACATTTCGGGAGCCTGACAAGCTTATTTTTCAATTTCATTCACCTTTCTCATAAAAACAATGACTGATAATATCAACCTGATTAAATGAATGAGTATTCTGAATCACAAAGCTTGTCCACTGTCGTATAGGCTTAGTTATAGTGCAATAAGTAGAAAATCTTACTGAATATTTGCATAGTGACCATAGACCAGCTGTAGTCTTAAGAATTTCCAATAATCTCAGTTTCCTCTTAGTTCTGTAGCCAGAGTTTGACTGCCTTTGGAACTAAAATATACTTTAGTTTCTACACATGTAGTTATTTTGTCTGAATAAAAATGTCAGTAGTTCTGACAATTTTAATTCTTGTATTTACTGACTGCATTACCTTCTGAATCATAGGTTCCCAAATCAAGTCAAACAGGTTAGGAGACAAGCTACACTTCAGTGTCACACCTACTCCTACTCTTAGAGGAGTGTGGGAATATATTAGCCACTTTCACTGTACTAACTAGTTCATTTCCGGCTCTTCACACACTTTACCAATTTTTACTTTCCATCTTGGATACAACCCCAATTCTCGAAGACTCTGAAGTGCAAAAAACATTAAAGTATACTTTAAACATTTAAAGTAAACATTAAAAATATTCAGATCTTTACCTGTTCCTTTGAGAATCTGCATGGTGGAGTCCCCAAAATGTACAAGGTGGAGATAGTTACGACATCTGCTGCCCACAGACCAGAATGTGTGTCAGTCAGTCAAGGGAAGAAATTAACGTTTTATATCACTGATTTATCCAACTTATTGCTGTCATCTTTGTGGTGTTGCCCACATGTGCAGACTTTTCCAGAAGGACCATGGAGGATGTGAGAGTTGGTGGTACAGAGTTGCCCCAGCGTTAAGTCATTCAGAATTTGAATCTCACCCACTCCATCTCCTTCAGTTTACCTCCCCTCTAACACCCACGTAGCAAGGCCTTGTTGTTTCAGCCTTTTTCATCTTTGCACTTGAAGATCCTTCCAAATGGTAATTATTTCAGTGTTCAAGGACAGCTGTTGCTAGTTTCTTAAGTCTTTTCCACCTTCATCAGGGTCCTTCAACCCCATAATTTATATAGCACAGTTTCAAGTCCCTTCACCAGCTTCATTGTTCTTCCCTGGGCAGCCTCTGATATGTAATTATCCGGATACCTAAAAAGTGAGCACAAAACATTTTGGGGGCTTATCTTTGGGGATGGGTGGCGGGTAGGATTTAAAGAGAGTTAATCCTGGATTTGATTGTGACATTTCTTAGAGCCATGTTAAGACCCAAAGAATGTTACCCTAAATACTGTTTCCAGTTACAGAATATAGAGTAAAAATGAGTCAATAAGAGAAAGTCTTTAGAATTTAAAAATATCCTCATGGGCTTCTTTAAAATTCAAGATTCTTTGAGTAAATCAATAGACCTGCTAAAACTGATAAATTTCAGGGCATCTTAAAGAATAGATACCTGAACATCTGAAGTATCCCCATTCAAAAAGCATGTCTTGAATGCTTATATAAATTAGGAACTGTCAGACTGTAGAAATACAGAGATCAATAAAACATGACTTTAGCCTTGAGGAAGCTCACAGACTAATAGGAAAGACAGCAGTAAACAGTCAGTTGTAATACAGTGTGACCAGCACCCCCGTAGAAGCATGTTCAGAGCACCATGAAAGCAGAGAGTATGTTGTGGTATGCCCTCTGCTCCAGACTTGCATCTCTCCAGCATGGTATTCTTTTAGCGTCTGCATATTGCCAACATTTCTGTGCATTGTGTTCTAGACACTGCATGAAGGGCTTTATGTATGTCTTCTCATTTATGTGTGTGAACCTCTTAGAGGTTGGTCCTGTCATGGACCCCATACCAACAGGGAAAGTGGGCAGACATTCACTGACTTGCTTAGGGTCATAGTAAGTGTTGGATCCAGAATTCAAGCCCAGGAATTTTGCTCTTAACCAATATTCTATACTACTTTATTAGAGAAAGCTTTTATCTAGAATGGTGGTTCTCAACCAGGAGCCATTTTGCCCTCCAAGGAACTGAAGGCAATGTCTGCAGATATCATTGAACATCACAGCTGCTATCTAGTGGGTAGCAATCAGGGAGGCTGCTAAATGTCCTCCAATGCACAAGACAGCCCCCCCCACCCCCGACAAAAAAACTAGCCTAAAATATCAGTAGTGCTGAGGTTGGGAAGATGCTTTGGCGTATGGTACCATCTCTGTGTAAGCCTTTAAAAGATACTTTTTTGAATACTTAAAACCATTTTTTTAAAAAGAAGATATGACTTAGTATGGGGCAAAAAATATTGGACCAAGTTCCTAAGTATCTGATGAAGTGTATTTTGCCACATAAAATTGAGAAAATATTGTCATCTTTGTCTACTTGTATAGATTTCAAGTATCTGAGGAGGCCCTAAGAGTTTGGGGAGATAATGCATAAGATAGCCCTGGACGAGAATTATCGGAAATCCTTAGAGTTCTTGGGGTGATAATATATCTGTGGGTAACCAGAATCAGATAAAGAGTACATCCTAAACCAGATTCCTCTTTTGTTTACCCGGCTCCCTTGTCAGCTGACCACTCCCATTGCCTTTTTCTTCACCTTTCTAAGAGTTGGACACGATTTAGCGACTGGACTGAACAACAACATATATTTCTGTAAGCAAGTTTGTTTCAATATTTACTTGATGATGTAAGCAAAAAATTGGTATTTCTTGCCATATTACACCAGATTTGAGGCAGCTAATTTAAATTCTAATGTTTTCTTTATATAAGAAAATCATAACCATTGGTGGGTTTGGGGAGTAATTTGAATACTGTGGCTTTCTTGGAAGTGAATGACAACACTGATCCAACCTCCCCTTCATTCCTTCCTTTCAAACTCTTAACACTCCTGGCAGGGCAATGATTCTAGCATTGGTTTACTGAATGCCAGGCAGTGTCTTCACAGGTAGTGGTTGACCAGTCCCGAGATTGGGTGAAGCCACACATATGCGCGCTGTGGCAATTCATCAAATGGATGTAAACTCGTAAATTCAGTTTACTGAGGTTTTAGTTGAGTGTGGCATCCCCTTGGCGTGCTTTTTCTACGCAACCAACAGCGTCTCTTGGCAGAGTCATTACTGACTTCCTCGGAGCGTTTTCCTGACGATCCAGTCTGCAGTGAATCACGGACCAGCCTCCAGGTGTGCGCGGCATTCTCCACCCGGTTCCGGATTGCGCTGGTTTATTTATGCCGAGGGGAGGACCCGCCCGGAGCTCGGGGCTGGGGACGCGGGGGCAGCGGGAGATGCTGGGGGTCGCGGTCTGCGGGGCTCACGCACCGGCTCGCCCGCTGCCTTTCCCATGAGGCCCCGCTCCGCAGGGGAGTGTCTGCACCCCGACCGGTCCCCGCCACCCGGCCCCTTCCCGCGGAGGCTGCACAAAGGTGTCCGGCTGCGGTCCGCCAACAGGCCAGCTTTCTCAAAGTGCTTTTAAGTTTCCTTTTTTTTTTTTTTTTTTTTTTTGAGGAGGGGCGAAGAAGAGGAGCTTTTTCCATTTACATTCCTTTCCTTGTATGTAGATACCGAGAGGAAACTCAGCACTGGGCATGTTCGGATGTTGAATGGTTTTGCTGATAAGCAACCAGCCCTCCCGGAACCAAAGACTTAAAATAGTCGTCACCCCTCCCCGTCCTCACCCCCCCGCAGGAGCTGCAAATGGTATCTGCCAAACAGATGACAAAGTACCTTGGACTGAATCACACACAGACAGCATTTTGAGCCGAACGCACGGCCAAACTCGTGTAATTACTGTTTATAGCTGGCCGAGGCTGGCCAGGAGAGGGCAAACTCAGGAGGAAATAAGTTTCTTGAACCTTGGAGAAATGGCTGTGTGTTAATTAAAGGCTAGGACGGGCACTTCTCACTCACGCACCAAGTTGTTCTTGAGATCACAGTTCGCAGCACGTTTCCTCTGGAGGGAGTGAGTAGATAATTGGGATCGTTTTGTCTTTTTTTTTTTTTTTCCCCACTCTCCTTTTTCTCTCCTTCTCTCCGTTTTGGTCTTATGGCCTCGAACCCGCGGTGAATTGAAGCGAGAAAGAAATGGATATGTCTGACCCCAATTTTTGGACTGTGCTCTCAAACTTTACTTTGCCTCATTTGAGGAGTGGGAACAGGCTTCGGCGAACACAAAGGTAAAATCGCGGGGGTTCCTTTTTGCCTTGGAGAGGGAATGAACGCTTTGGCTTCAGAGGCTGCCCTACGGCCTGGGCCCCCCTAAGCAACTGGGGTGTTGTTGATTGGGTAACAGTTTGAGAAGTTTATACTCTGCCAGGGGCGCCCTGGCTCAGGTGTTCCCTCCTCGCGGATTTCCTGGCTCATCCTGATAAATGTGGTTTTTCGGAATTCTCTTTCTGAAATGTGGAGAATCGGGACCTGGAGTTGTGAGTGGTGGGAAGAGCAGGGAAGCGGGAAGAGATCCTTGCTCACTCTTTTTGATCTGATCGCTTGTCCATTTCATTCACTCCATTATGGGAGCTTCTGCTTCTCTGAGTAGAGCCTTTCAGATGCTCTCTCTGCTCTATTAAATATTTAACCTTTATACAATGGACATGTCCAGTGCAAAGATAGCTCAAGTTTGCCTGTTTCAAATTGTCTGCTTAAAGAAATAAGTCTGCATAACTTTGCATTTTATTTTTTAAATTGATTTGCTGACATGTATTTCTAATACAGGACTGGCCTTTTCCACTGTTAGAGTAGATGAAAAGAAAAAAGATTTTTTACATCAAGGAGAAGCTCAAGCCACAAGTGAAAGACAGTTGAGAATTAGTTGCTGACAGTTGGGTGAAAGAAAATGATTTTAAAGGAGGTGTGCCTCCTCTCTCTGTATTTGTGTCCAGCACAGGCAGGTGGCATGATTGTGGTTTTAGAGGGGCACACCCTCTGAGTTGTGTAAGTACAGATTCTTTGTTTTTCTTCAGAACTTGCCTTGAACATACACGTGAACACACACGAGGCCACGGTACAGTCAAATAAACAGGATGCTTGGCTATCAGATTGGAGATTCATAATCTCTGTGCTCCAGTGTTTAAAGAACACAGGAAAATGGTTCCTTCTGTTTGGTTGTACCAGTAACTTTTTGCAGCGTTAGTGCAGATATGTGATACTTTGGAAAACTTAGTAGTTTTTCCTTTTGACCTCTCTCATGGTATTTCTTAAATTTCAGAAGTGTCCTGGAATACACTGACATATGCTGTTTATATATACGTGCATATATACATATAGACAAATACATGTGTGTGTATGTGTGTGCGAGAGAAAGAGATTGCATCAATTTGTAAGTCATACCTTTTCCTGTGACTTGAACGATGCTGGTACCACTAAACCATGTGCTGATCTAAAGCTGTACCTTTTAAATAGGATGGCTGTGCTTTTCTCATTCTGCTACAGTGTTCAGAGAGAAAGAGACTCCTTCGGTGTTGGTCATTTGTGTACAGGCTGTGTCATCCACACACCAGACCCCCGCAAACAGTGGATCAGTTGAAGAGACACCTACTGTACCGGAACCAGGCCTGTGCTCGTGTCAGGAGTCTTAACCGTGTCTGAGTGATGTAGCCCGGGCTGTGATACAGCTGTTCCTCTCACCTGGAGCCACTTCTGGGCGAGAGGCGTCTGCCCTGGCATCACGCCTGTGTGTCTGAAAGTGAGGGGCAACTGGAGCATTTCCTTCCCGTACCTACATGTTTGATGGTGTTATCGAGGCAAACACATCAAGGACTCTCAGGCTGGTCCGACCACGGCCTTAGGCAGTGCCTACTTAGCCTGGAACACTCCATTTGAGACAGCTCACCCTGGCAGAGAGCCTCGCTTCTAAAGAAACTTGGGTTCTTCCTAGCTGGATGAGAGTGTGGGAGGGCTGTGTCCATTCCCCAAGTCATGGGCCCGTCCCTTCAGTTTCGTGATACAGAGAGAGAGGTGGAATTTCTTCCCTCCCTTCTCAGAATACAGGTTGTCACAGCCTGTTTGTTAACTGGGGATTTCCAGGATTCACAGAGTTTGGGAACTTGTATCCTGAAGATCATCTCTAGACACATGTACTTACAGGTTTCCCGGGGCCCCAGCTGCTTTCTGTTTATCATGTAGATTCGGGAAGATGAAGGGCAGGTGTCCCGCTCTCCGGGTCAGTGTGTGTGGCTGTTGCCTTCTCTTATTATACGGCGATCAACTCTAGCTCTGTGTCCTTTTTGCTTTTGTAAGGACACGAAGCCTCTGCTTGTAGGATGACTCTTCCCCTTCTGTGACCACCCTTATCGGCTCCCAGTCCTCCTCTAGGTGCCACGTCAGTCCTTCTTATCGCACTGATCCGCTTTGCTAAGTCTGCCCTTTGAAAACGACCTGTCCGTTCCCAGGCTGCCTGCCCCTTTCGCCAGCCTCACTGAGGGTGTGCCCCGTGTCCAGGTGATGGTGCCTTACCTTCATCCTCAGCTGGATGTGCCTGAGCCCTTGGGACAGCTCTCCTGCCCAAGCCTGGCTGCTTCTCGGTACATTTGCTTGCATATTTTATTTCCGCTGTTTCTTCTGATTATGTTGTAATCCAGAGGACTTGATGATAACCTTTTCTCCAGTATCAGCCTCTTACATCTATCAAAGGACAAAATCCAGCTTTGAACCTGTGAATGAGTGTCTTAGAGCGCCTCAGGATAGAATGTTGAATACTTAGACAAAAGAAAGAGAAGCTGAATGGTTTCCAACTCCTCTCAGTTTACATCGTGGTAGAAATTGTCATCATGGAGGCCTTTGGGTTTTTGCCGGATTGCGTCTGCTTTGCCATTCGGCATGGCTCTACTTTGTTGGTTTGTGGGAACCATTCATGGGAATGCTTTAAAGGTTTCTCTTCCAGCTCAGAGCTCTGCCTGGCTCATAACTCCTGAATTCTTGGGGAAAGGCACTTACAAACTGACCCTCGGGCCTGAAATCTTGAACAGGTCCTGATGCACTGAAAGCCTAACGTCCCTGTGCTGTGTCCCAGTGATGATGTTTTGTTCTCTTCATTCCTTTTGAACTGGCATGTGGCAGACACTGAGTTGTCTAGATGCAAGCTGATTTTGTTTGCTGTTTTGCTGTAAACCTCACATTTCCATTGGTAATGGTTCCTTTTTATATGACTGGCTTTGCCTACCTATCCTGCTCCCTTCATTTCCTCAAGGTGGTCTTAATATAGCCATTCACCTGCTGCTTTGAGGGACAGAAATCTAGGCTGAATAAACAGGGTATTTCAATCAAAATGTGTTGTTTTAAACTGAAGTAAGAATTGCACTTTTTAGAGGCTGTGAATTTCATAGATCTTTGGATTCTCCATTCACTGGAGGGTCCCCTTACAACTTAGAATGGGAATTAGTTTGCCTGCTTTGTGTTACTGTTTGTAACATTTTTCCCTTTCTCGTTGAGTTACAGATTTTGAGGGAGGCGGGATCAAACATCTCTTTGACTTCTATCTTCTATAAGTCACACTGTAAAAAACACACACCATCTATTTATAAATGTTGCTGCTTGGTTTTAAGGAGCACCCTTAGTTTTGTTGAAGTGTAGTGACTCTAGACGATGCTTGAATTTTAACCTTAATGGTAAGAAATCTGTCATGTTCTCTTTGGGCTTAAATGATAATCTCCAAACCTCAGTGACACCTCAGTCAGTACAATCCTACCTAGGCCATTGGGTAGTTTGTGACTCAGTTCATCATTTTGACAGAGGCTCCAAATGTATTTTTCTGAGAACCCTTGGGATAAAAGGGTATTTCAGTTTTGCTTTATTTTTGCTGAATTCACATTACTCAGCAGTTGCAATGAGCAGCAGGTACATTCAAGGATCTTAAACTAACTGCTGTAGTTGTCAGAATGCATTGAACTTTTATGCACTCTGTCTTCTCTCCAGAAACATGTGGGGTGTTTGGTGAGTTTTTCTTTTGTTTTGAGCATGAATATATGTCTTTTAGCAGGATAGAATATGCTTCCTTCCTGCCCTGGCATGTCAGGTATTGGTTAACCCGTGCTTACCCCTTTTTCAGAAAGCCCAGTTTAATCCACATTTATTGTGCATCTGTTGTGTGCCTGGGCACCGTGACTCAAAGCTGAAAGTCACAGGCATGCCTTCAGTGAAGGGGTGCAGTGAATCATTGCAAACCAGGACGATCAAGAAGTATTTACCAGGTACATAGGAGCTGAGAGATGTACCATACAGAAAATCGTGGGGAGGTTTTGAAGGGTAGGTTGGCATTTATCAGACAGAAAGACAAGGCCTTCCCAAGGAGCAAGAGAAATGGTGTGTATGAAGGCATGGTAGCCTCAGCAACAGAGAGTTCGAGGGATTATACATAGCTTAGTATTGCTGGAGCATAAAGAACCAGAAGCATAACTTGGTACTGCTGAAGCATAAAGTTTAAAGAGGCTATATAATAGAGCCCAATGGTTAAGAGGGTTGATCTGAAGCCAGTTTACCTGAGTTTGAATCTTAATTCTGTGATATTGTCTATTGAATTAGTTAACTTATTTGGAATTCTGTTGCTCTATCTACAAGATAGGCATAAGTACATTACTTATTTCATAGGATTGTTGTAAGATTAAAATATGTTCATATGTGTAAAATGCTGACTGCAGTGACTCACATATGAAAACTTTCAATAAACCCTAACTCTTGTTATGGTTACTGTCATCACAACAAGGGGATGAATAGTGGGTGATGACTGAGGAGAGAGTTGAGGCTCTAGGTATTTGTGGGAGCTTGGGGAGAGAGGCACATCTAGCAATGCTGGGGAGTTTTAGGTCTGAGAAAGGAGAGTGAGACCTCGAAACCAACGGGTGAGTTATGGCGATAGCCTTTTTAACGGGTTTTGTAGGTCTGAGCAAAGAATGTGGTGAGATTAGACCTTGAGAGCTATTGAGGGTATAAAGTTGGGAGAAGCTGATGAGTTGTTGGCTCTGAGGAATGAAGAAGGGTACCACAGTGGCCCTGGGGGTTTTAACTTGGGGAACTAGGGAAACGGAGACTCACCTGTACATAGAAGACACAAGAGCTGGGACTTGCAGTTTCCCCTTGGGTCCCCAGAGGGGACAGTTCATCCACATTGAGTGAGCACCTGTCCCGGGCTGTACTGTGGGGCAGCCATTCGGTCATTCAGACAGAACCAATGGTCTGTGTC